GGCCCTAAAACCTCGAGACTGTAGTTGCTTTTTTTCGTTGTAGATTAGTTGATCAGTGATTTATTTGTTTTTTGTTGCTCTTGGAAATGCAAATAGTACTCTGGCAGCACAGTGCACACTTCTCAGGCTCGCTCTGTCCTCTGGCACGCCCGCTCCAGACCTGTCGCCATCTTGAAAAACCAATAATACCAATTTTCTGCCTAGAGTCTGATTTTTTCCATATTTCTGGAAATATTTCTGTATTTCTACCTAGGGTTGGATTCTTTCCATACTGCTAAATTTTTGAAAATGATATTCTGACCGATCTTATCCCTTTGGCTAGAGCTTTTTGTGTCAGACCCTTTCTTAGGCTCCTTATTAGCACATGGGATGGCTTCTCATACTTCAGATGCCCACCCTGGCCCAATCAACTGTGAAACAGGAGCAAAGGACAGATTTACCTGGAATAAAGAATGGGTGTTCTAGCTTGTTCCATCAGCAGGAATGGGATAGGCCAGTTTCCCTTAGAATAGTCAGTGTATGTGTCAGGCACCATGAAGGAAGAAAACAAAGCAATCCTAGTTCCCACCAGCCACAACTTTTTGTGTTTTGTTCTTTAAGAGTTCATTGTAATAAGAACCAACAATGCTACAGAAAGTTCAGAAAACCAAAAGAAAACTATGTGTGGGAGAGAAGTGAGCAGTAAACATTGGGGAGAAAAGAATTTGAGCTAGGCCATGAAGTATTCTCAGGATCTCATCTATAGAGGGTAAGGCATTCTAGTAAGGGTACAACAGAAAAAGACACATGAGAGAGAGATCTGGGCTGTGGATAAAACTTTGAGAGTTTTTTGCCTATTAGGTTGGCAAAGATGTATGCCTAGTATTGGCTGTGATGTAGAGAAACAGGCACTCTCCCCTATTGGTGGGATTGTAAATTGGCAAAATTGTTTTGGTGGGGCAATTTAGCAAGATATATTCAAATTCAGAAGGGCTGGTCGGTTAGCTCAGTTGGTTACAGCATAGTGCTGACAACACCAAGGTTCAGAGTTCCATCCCTGTAACAGCCAGCTGCCAAAAATAAATAAATAAATAAATAAATGAAATTTAGAGCATGCTAACCCTTTGATCTAGCAGTTTCATTTCTAGGAATTAATTACGCTGATATAGTTATGTAAGTATGCAAACATATAGATGTGCAAAGATTTTATGTAAATTGTAATTATTCTTTTCTTCAAGATTTAGTAGAACTTACCAGTGAGGTCATCTGAATCCGGAGTTTGAGGATTGACTTAATTTCTTTAACTGATATATGGCTGATTATAAGGTTATAAGTTTTAATTTATTACAAACTTATCCAAGACTTTTAGTTTTCAGCAGGAAGGTTAATTCAGATACCTCGCCTGCCATATATCACTTCATATTACAACAGTGTTGAGTGCAAATCTACAACTTTGAGTTCAAATTCATAGTTTACAAAATGCCTCTATAGTTTTTAACCTGAATGATCAAGGCTTAAATGAAACAATTTTCTCATTTCTTACTAAAAATATGCATTTTATTTTCCAGCTACAATTTCAACGAGTAACACCAGCACTATCACCACCACTACCACTACCACAGTCACCAGTGGCCTTACCCAGAATCTAAAACTGGGGAGATCAACTGGGACTAATACCACCGTTGCAGTTGGTGTCACTTCTGTACCTTTTACTTCGACTGTTAAGTAAGCATATTTGTTTGAAAATTTGCATGAGTTTTGTTTTATTTATTGTCTACAAGGCATAACTTGCTGGTATAGCTTTAGAATAGTACTTAAAAGTTAGATAAATGATTGAGTTGAGGGAACGGTTAGAGAAACATTTCTGTACGTTAGGAAAGTGAACAAACAACAGTACACCTTTGCCTTCTGAATACCATTATAATACAATCATTACTATTAGTTATAATAGGTACCATTTATTGTGCAATTACTATGTTTAGCAAGATGACAATGCTTTACAAACATCATGTTTAATTCTTACAATAACCCTATGAGGTAAGCACTATTTTTATAGATGAGGATACTGGAACACATAGAGATTTTATAATCTGCTCATGGTCACACACTTGGTAATGGTTGAGCCAGGATCAAAATCCAGGCAGCTGAGCTCTAGAACCTGTATTCTTACATACTATACTATGCTCCTCACTAATACTTGTTCATTTTTTAAATTATATTTTTAATTATGAGATAATTATAGATGTGCATGTATTTGTAAGAAATAATACAAAACATCCTGTGTGTCTTTTATATCATTTCCTCCAATGATAACATCTTGCAATACTGTAGTACAGTATCACAACCAGGATATCGACATTGATACAGTCAAGATGCAGAATAGTTTCATCACCACAATGATTCCTCCTATTGCACTTTTATAGCCACACCCACTACCTTCCCCTCCTTTGCTTGACCCTGGGCAACAATTTATCCTTTCTCCATTTCTGTAATCTTGACATTTCAAGAATGGAATGGAATAATATGTATTTGACCTTTGGGGACTGGCTTTTTCCATTTAGCATTGTTCCTTGAGATTCACTTATTTCTGAGTGGTATTCATGGTATTGTGGATGTACCATGGTTTATTTAACCACTCACCTGTTGATGTACATCTAGGTTGTTTCCAGCTTTTTGGTTATTATGAATAAAGCTGGTATGAATATGTATGTACAGGTTTTTTATAGGCATAAATCTCATTTCTCTGGGATAAATGCCCAGTTGTGGGGTGGTTTAGTAGTTGCATGTTTATTTTTAAAGAAACTGCCAAGCTCTATTCCAGAGTGGCTGGTGTTCTCATTATTTTTTGTTTTGATATCTCCTTATTGTTTTAATTTGCATTTCCCTGATAACTAATATGATGAGCATCTTTTTGCATGTTTATTTGCCATCAATATATCCTCTTTGGTGAAGTGTCTATTCATATCTTTTGTCCATTTTCTACTTGAATTATTTGCTTTTTTTTAATGTTCAGTTTTGAGAATTTGTTATATATTCTAGATGTCAGTTCTTTGTCAGATACGTGATTTATGAATATATTCACTAAATCTGAAACTTGTCTTTTCATCCTCTTAGCAAGGTCTTTTTGCTGAACAAAAACTTTTAATTGGTGAGGTATAATTTGTCAATTTTTCCTTTAATGGATTATACTTTTAGTATCAATTATAAGAACTCTGTGCCTAGCCCTAGATCCCAAAGTTTTTTCTCCTGTTTTTTTTTTTTTCTAAAAGTTTTTTAGTTTTACATATTACATGTAAACTCATGATCCATTTTGAGTTAATTTTTACATTAAGTATGAGGTTTAGGTCGAGATTAATTTCTTTTGTCTATGGATATTATCTAATTTTTCTAACATCATTTGTTGAAAGGCTGTCTTTCTCCACTGAATTGTTTTTTACATTTTTGTCAAAAATCAGTTGGATGTATTTGTTGGATTTTTTTGGCCTCAATTGATATGCTCTTTTAAGATTTTTTTCTTTATCTTGATGGTATGGTGGATTGTGTTGATTGATTTTCAGATGTTCAACCAGCCTTGCATATGTGTAATAAATCCCACTTGGTCATGGTGTATGATTTTTTTATACATTTTTACATTTGGTTTGCTAGTATTTTGTTTGAGGACTTTTGTATCTGAATTTATGAAAGTTTTCTTTTTTTCTGTAGGATTTTTCCTGTTGCTTTCTTTTTTTTTTCTGTAGTTTTTTGTTTTGTTTTGTTTTTTGGATTTCCTGTCTGTGGCTTTGATATCAGGATAGTACTCACCTTATAAAATGATCTGGGAAGTATTGTCTTCTGTTTTCCAGAAGAAATTGTGTAAAATTCGTGTTAATTCATTAAATGTTGGCAGAATTCTCCAGTGAAACTTTCTGGGCCTGGATATTTCTTTTATAGGAGCTTTTAAATTACAAATCAATTTCTTTAATTTCTTTGGACTTTTCAGTTTATCTAGTTCATTGGTAAGATTTAGTAGTGTGTAGTTTCCAAGGAATTGGTCTATTTCTTCTAAGTTGTGGAATTTATGAGCATAAAGTTGTTTGGAGTATTCCCTTATTGTCCTTTGAATAGCTGTAGAGATATTCTTGTTTCATTTCTGATATTGGTAGTTTGTGTCTTTCTTTTATCAGTTTTTTCGATCTTTTTCCAAAGAACCAGCTTTCATTTCATTGATTGTTCTCTATTTTCCTGTTTTCAATTTCACTGATTTCCACTCTATTGTTTCCTTCTTTTTGGTTGCTTTGGGTACATTTTGCTATTATGTTTATTGAGGTATGAACTTACACTATTGTTTTGAATTCTTTCCTCTTTTCCAATATTAAGCATTCAGTACTACCAATATCCCTCTCAGCACTGCTTTAGCTGTGTCCCACATATTTTGGTATGTTGTGATTTCATTCAGCTCTATATACTTTTAGAATTTCCTTTACAAATTTCTCTTTACCGCATGGATTACTTAGAAGTGCGTTCTTTAATTTCCAAGTGTTTGGAGATTTTCTTGTTTTCTTTCTGTATTGGTTTGTCTTTTGATTCCATTATGGTCAGAGAACATGTTCTGTATGATTTCAGTTCTTTTATATTTGTTCAGATTTGTTTTATGGGTGAGGATATGGTCTGTCATGATGAATGTTTCATGGACACTTGAAAATTGTGTTTTCTGCTGTTGGATGGAGTGTTCTATATATGTCAGTTAGATCCTGTTGCCTCATTGTATTTTCAGATTCTGTACCCTTGCTGCTTTTCTTTCTAGTAGTTCATTCAGTTATGGAGAGTGGCTTTTTGAAGTCCCTAAATATAATTGTGGATTTGCTTATTTCTCCCCTTAGCTCAATCAGTTTTTGCTTCATGTATTTTTAGGCTCTGTTGTTTGGTTGTTTACACATTTAGGATTGTCAGCCTTCCTTGTACCTTGATTCCTTTATCATTATGTAATGTCTGTCTTTGACCCTGGAAATTTTCTTTGTTCTATAGTCTACTTTATCTGATATTAAACAGCAATCTTTTTAAGAAAATAATCTTGCATGGTGCATCTTTATCCAACCTTTTATTTTCAGCCTATCTATGTCCTTATATTTGAAGTGAGTTTCTTGTAGGCAACATATTGTTGGATTGTTTTTCATCCACTCTGTAAATCTCTGTCTTTTAATTGGAATATTTAGCATTTACATTTGAGGTAATTATTGATATCTTAGGGCTTAAGTCTGCTATTTTATTATTTGTTTGTTACCTCTGATTTTTGTTCTTCTGTTTCTTTTTTTGTTTTTAACCTTCCTGTGGGTTCCTTGAATATTTTTTTAGTGTTCCATCTTGTTCTATTTATTTATTTGTTTATTTATTTATTTTTTTATTGAATCATAACTGATTATACATATTTTGGGGGTTCAACATTGACATATGTTGATCATATCAATATTACTAGCATACTTATTTTTATGAATCATACTTATTCTTTATTCCCCTTGTCCAATCTCTCCCCATCTCTCTCTCCCTCCCCCTTCCCCCCTCTATTTACCCTAGATTTCGTCTCTCCTTCTGAGAGAGTAATGGTTACTCTGTTGATTTGTTGCCTAGATGATCTGTCCAGTGCTTAGAGGTGTGTTCAGGTCCCCCAATATTATTGTAGAGCAGATGCTTCTGTCACTCTGTAATGAGCTTTGTGGAGAGAGACATCTTCTTCTTTTCTTTGGTCTCTGCTGGTGACTCTTCTTGTGTCAATGCACTCCAGTGGCTGGCAGACCATCTGCACGGTGGTTGTGGCATCTAGCTGCTTTTGCGGCAGCTGTGGTTATTGTGCTGGCTGTGGTGGGCCACCCACATAGAGGTGATGTTTTTGGCATGCTCCTTACCTAGTTGGTGGGGGCAATGGTAGTGTGCCTGGCTGTGGGAGGGAGTCTGGTCCCTGGCCTCATGCCAGGCAGGGGACCAGACCCAGGCAGGCCCCATGGCACTGGTGGTGTGCCTGGTTGTGGGCGGAGGGTCTGATCCCTTGGCTCCATGCCTCAGGACCATGGGTGGGCCCTGTGGTGCTGGCAGTATGCCTGATTGTGGGAGTAGGGTCTGGTTCCCAGCTCCGTGCCATCTTGTTCTATTTATAGTGTTTTTAAATATACTGCTTTGTATTATTTTCTTATTTTTTTAAATTTTTGGCCATAAAAAACGTCTTAATACATTTTAAAAGACTAAGATCATAGAAAATATGTTCTCTGATCACAATAACAGAAGGAAATTTAGAAAATTCACAAATGTGTGGAAATTAAACAACATTCTCCTAAGTAAACAATGTGTAAAAAGAAAAATCACAAGGAAATTAGAGAGTACTTTGAGATAAAAATAGACATCCTTTTTTTTCTGGTCTCCACTGGTGACTCTTCTTGTGTCAATGTAACTGAGTGTCAACCACCTGCATGGTGGCTGTGGCTACTGCTGTGGCGTCGAGCTGCTTTTGCAGCAGCTGTGGCCATGGCAGTGGCTGTGGTGGACCACCCACGTGGAAGTGGTGTTTTTGGTGTGCTCCTTGCCTGTTCACGTGTGGCAGTGGTGGGGAGGGTGGCCCTCGGCTCCTGCCTCAGGACCCTGGGCATGCTCTGTTGCTTCTGCTTTGTGTAGTTTTCTCACTGGGTGCTCTAGGTATTACAATATACATGTATAACTTGCAACAATCTAGTTGTATTGACATTTTACCACTTTGGGTGAATTGTAGAAACCTTACTTCCAATCAGTTCCCTTTACCCTCCTTACCTTTTAATTGTCTCAAGTGTTTCCTCTATGTACGTTAAAGTACATGGGGTTATAATTTTTACTTCAACCATCAAATGTGATATAAGAAAGTCGTGCCAAAGTAGAATAGTTTATTTACCTTTCTTTTTTACCCATTTTGGTGTTCTTCTTTCCTTTATATGATGTTACAAGTCTTCTGTTTTCATTTCCTTTGTTTAGCTAATCTTCAAGGGTAGGTTTGCTAGCAGCAAATTACCTTAATTTTACTTTGTGTCAGAATGTCTTTATTTCCCCTTTTCTGAAGGACATTTCCACTAGATATAGAAGTCATTGTTGACACTTTTTTCTTTCAGTGCTTGAAAAATGAAGTCTGCTGTCATTCAAATTGGTGTTCCCTTTTTAAGTAATTCATTTTTTCTCTTTGATTGCTTTCAAGATTTTTTCATTGTCTTTAGTTTTGAGAAGTTTAATTATTATGTGTCTTAGCACAGATTTTTTTGCATTATTCTGTTTGGGGTTTGTTCAGCTTCTTGGATCTCTGGATTTATACTTTTGCCAGATTTGGGAAGTTTTCAATCCTTACTTTTTCAAATACTTTTTCCGTTCCGTTCTCTTTCCTCTCTTTCTGGAACTCTTATTTTATGAATGTTACCTTTTTTATTATTGTCCTCCTAGGCCTTGAGACTTTTTTTTTTCTTTGTTTCTGCCTATTTTCTCTTTGTTGTTCTGTAAATTCTATTGATCTTTTCTCAAGTTCACTGATTCTATCCTCTGTCAATTCCACTATACTATCAAACCCTTCAAATGAGTTTGTTATTTCAGTTATTTTTCAGGTCTATATTTTCCATTTGATTGTTTTTCATAACTTTTTATGTGCTGAGGTTTTCTATTTTTTTGATGGTTGCTTTAAAATTCTTTTCAGATAATTCCAACATTTGATACCTCTTGGCATCAGCTGATTGTCCTTTCTCTTTCAAGTTGTAATTTTTCTTGTTCTTGATATGACGGGTAATTTTTTATTGTATCCTAGACATTTTGTCTACTATGTTAGAAAAGTTTAGGTCCTATTTACATCTTTTATCCATCAGACAGTCCCTTTGTTGAGGTGTAGGGCAAGGGATGGGTGTTTTTATGTTCTACTTCCCACTGAACCTTGTTCACACCCCCCAGCAAAAGTGGAGCACTGATTCATACTGCCTCAATGCAAATGGGTGGTGTAGAAGTTCAGCTCCCTTTAGCCCTGTGGACTCATTTCCCATGAAAATGGGGCACTGCATTGAACTACTTCATTGCCTCTAAGTGAGGATGTAAGCTTAGCTCACAGCTGGACCCTGGAGCCCCCAGATCAAGGGGAAGTGGAGGATTGAGTCATACTGCTTAGTTGCTGCAGGTGGAGACAGAATTCAGCTTCCTTTTGTGCCCCCACTGACACTAGGAGAGAGAAGAAGCAGGATGTCAATTACTCTGTTGCATACCACTTTGTTCAGCCTCGTTGATGCCGGGTTGGTATAGAGGCTTAGCTCTCTGCTGAGCCCTGCTGACACAAGGCTCATGAGAGAAGGGGGACAGAGGGCTGACTGACCCTGCTTGGCCCTGCCTCATTCAGTCTGGGTTTTGCCAGTGGATGTGGAGGTCAAGCTTCCCACTGAGCCTTGCTGACTCCATAGGTGGTAAGAAGTGGAGTCCTTACTAGCCCCAAACTTGGATTACATTGTTCAGTCTTAATGATACCAGCAGGTATAGAAGTTCAGCTCCCACTTGATCCCACTGACACCAGAGGCAAGGGGTGAAACCTAATTTTGATTAACCCTGTCTCATTCTGCCTCATTAAGTATTGTTGCTGCTGGGTGGGGATTTAGGTTTGGCTTGTCATTAGATCCCACCAATAGTACCCTGGTGGGAAATTGGAACATCGCCTGCTTCTGTCAGGCAGGGAAGTGACAATTACCTTCCTACCAAGCCCTGCTGACACTGCCCCAGCAGAAGAATCAGAGCATTGTCTGACTCCGTTGGTCAGGAGATCAAAGGTTGGCTAGCTGCTCAGCCTTTTTGATACCATCTGTTAGGGGAATTGGAGTTCCACATGGTTCTGCCCAGTTGGGGATGCCCATTCTCTGGTGGATACTACTCAGACAGGGGAATGGACCACTTTGACTAAGAGCTGTGGGGAAAAAGAGTTCTATCTTCTTGGCCACACCCACCTAGAAAAGAGCTTCCATCATGCTGACCTGTGATGGAGGAAGAGTGAGCGGATTGTGGGACAGACTTTAGTTGTTCTTACTGTGATTTGGTAGATTTCTTAATAAATTTTTATTTGCTATATTCCCTTAGGATAATTTACAGAGACTTTAAATGGTTGCTTTTTAGTTATCTTTACCAGCTATGGTTGTTTTGTTGGGGAGCAGGTATGAGAAACTCCTCACGTGCTATTTTCTTCTCAGAGTCCTCCCGTGTTAGTTTTTAAAATCTGAATATACTTTTAAAAATATGATCATATGATTATATCGCATCCTTTTATTTTTTAGTGCAATAGTAACTCCCGTGATGGCATATGGTCAGCTGGAGAATCTGACGAACAATTGGAGCTTTGAGCTAGAGGATTATGAGAAATACTTTCTTTACCATGCCACCCATGTCGATGCTTGGAAACGTGCATTGATTGATAATGATGAGAAGGTGAGGAGATAGTCTCATTAGTCTACCTGTATTGTGTAAGTATTTTCAGATGAACACAAGCAAATAGAACTGTTTTTTGTGGTTAATTTTCTACCCTAGTATTGGTGAGCAGCTTCAAAATATTTACCTTAGGTAATAAGTGCCCTGAATTAGGAAATCTTTCATATTTGAAATGTATTTGAGAAAATTGATATTGCTCTAAAATTATTAAATAAGTTCAAATATTTACATTATTGTATTCTTATTTCTCTCTTTTTTTTTAGAATGGTGCTTAATTTTTATAACTAAGATAATCACGAAGTAACCTCTAGATAATTTAGCCTTACTTAAAATCTCATAACTGTGACAAGGAAGAAGAGAAAATAGCATTTATTTTCTCGTTTTGAAAATAGCTCAGCTTTAAAAATTCTTATTTCTCTTCATAGATTACTACTTTATATGGAGAACTGGAAAAAGTGAAACTGGATCAGAAAAGGTAGAACCTTCGATTTCCTAGTTTGAAAAATTAAAGACCTAACTTCTTGTTCAGTTTTTTTTTTTTCCTTGATGTAGTTTATTGACGTTTATTTTGTCACTCTAAACTTCTTTTATCAGCCCTTTTGTCAACTTGTTTTATTCAGGTTGGAAGAAGAACTGGATTTTATCCTGTCAGAGCAGAAGGAGCTAGAAAATATTTTGATACCTTTAGAGGAGTTTCTGAAGGACCAGAGCAGGCGCAGGCCCTTTTATCTGCAGTATCCAGATGAGGAGCGTGAGAGGATGTAAGTAATTGGATAAGGATCAAGGAATGGGGCAAGACTTACCTACTCTGAGAGCACTCCAAAAAAGAGGGAAAGTTGAATCAGAAGTCAGGGAATAAAAACTGATAGAAATGGACAAGTTCTTATAGCTGACATTTATCAACTTGTTTGACTCTTTTCTGTTTATCTTTTCTGGATGTTTGAAAATTAAGAAATCATTCTAGAAATTTTGTTTTACAGCATTTTGTACACTGTTATTAATCTCATGCTCATGTATATCCAATATAAAGTTTTTATATTTGTCAAGTTTATTCTTAAATTAGAAATACAAATTTTATGTGTGTGATGTCATAGTATTACGGCCTATTTATGGTCTCTTATTTATATCAATTCTTCCAAACATATCATGTAATTGCTTTAGTGATAAATCACTTGCTATTTTAAAGGCAGTTTGTTAATCGGGGGGCAAACTGCCTAGTTTTCAAAAACAGGATGATTTTCTAAATGTCTTAGGCTAGGTGTATTTTATTTGTGTGCTATTTAGTCGTTACAATCTGCTGAAAGATTTCCAGTGTTCCCACAGTCACTTTATCTCTCTGGAACTGAGATTTTGGTAATCAGGCCAATTTATAAAGTATTAGGAGAATTTATGTGAATGTGCTACGTAATCTAGATTGGGACTAAATTGGACTCATTTTACCATTGGCTTATTAGAGAGTTAAGACTGAGTTTATTTATAAAAGTCTGGCAAGTTAACTTTTTTTGTTGAAACATTAAATGCGGTAAGTAAAGCTAATCTGTATTTACCCTAGTTTTGTTTCTACTTTTGTATTTTAGCCTTTGTGGATTTTTCGTTCCTTTGCGTTGCTTTCTATATATCCTATCATTTTTTTTTGAAACATACATAGTTATGTTTTTAGCCATAAGATCCTAACTGTAGTTTGAAGAAATCCTTGAAACATTAATTTGTTTCTAGTTACTCTTTTACAGTCAGATTTATATTGTGATAAAATCTTCACCAGAATCTTTAGCAATCTAGGCAACCATTTACCTATAAGTACTTTGGCATAGAAAGGCAGTAGATAATTACCAACAAATCTAATTAAATCTTTTAGTTTTTAGATACATTAAGATTGAAAAATCCTCTGTCCACTTTAAGTCTCATAAACATATTTACTGACTAGGTTAAGTGTGTGTGAGTGTGTAAATAGTTTGGGTAGGAATCGAGAATTTAGGCTACTAATCAGCTTGTTGTGAACTTACCAGATTTATCTATCTTTGATTATTGTGAAGCTCATTTCTCAAAACATCTTTTGTTGCCTGGTGAAGTATATTTATATAAAGTTTTAGTTTGACAACTTATGTTTTCAAGATCATTGAAGACATCTCAGCATTTATTGAACATTGCTAAACACTAAATAACTTCACTTGTATATATTTCTTATGGATGTATTTTGATATGTAAAGAGAGTTCCTTTGCTTTAGAAATCCCCAGACAATTAGCCAGAGGGTAAATAGATAACTATAAAAATAGTAAGGTGGGTAAAGCTTTCACCTTTGGAGTCTTTTTAGAATATGGTAATAAGGTCATGAGTGCTGCATTCATGAGAATGTGCCATTGGTCACAACTGAGACCAACTGAGAAGGTAGGGAGATTGGGGCAAATCCACTTGGCAGTATCACCTTTGTATATTAATATCAACAGATAGTGGAGAAAACATTTCTTGGTAATCCTTTTATTTTACCTGCCTTTTCAGTTACAAATTAGCAGAAATTATTGAGGCTCAACTGAAACAAATGTCCCAGGATCTCAAGGACATTATTGGTCACCTGAATTCATTGGAAAGTCGTGCTGAATCTACTGACCCGGTGTGTTTACTGTTTTATGCATTTACACAACCAAGATTTAGTGTGAAGTAACCATTCTGTTTCCTTTAGCTACTCACCTTCTCTTGTCCTCTATAGTGCTCCTTACCTGCCTCTAGATATATGAAGCTCTTGGGTGTGGTTAGTGGGGCAGGAAATATTTAGAGGCAGAAAAAGTTACAAATTTTTTGTGGTTATTTCAAGGAGGGTGAAAAAAATGATTCGTTCCTCCTGAAATTTCCAGGGTATTTTCCTTTGTTCTTTACGTAACTAAATACGTACCTGTACTTATTTTTCTGTTCACTTACTCATTAGCTAGTTTATTCTTCCTTTAACATATTTACTTACATATTCATATAAATGCAAATAGATATTTTTATGTCTGTTAGAAATATTCAGGGAATTTTTAATTTATAATTAGGTTATATCTTAAAAGTTTGGTGAGTTAACTATTTTAGACTTAACATATTATTCCATACAAACTTTAAAAAATGTGGTTATTAGGTTTCTACTTGCACCATAGAACACTACTTAGTTCATTATGTAAATGCATCAGAGGCTTCAATTAGAGTTGAGATGCCATGATTAATTTGGTGGTAAGAAAGAATTGTGTTTTTTTCCCCTATACTTTAATGAAAGAGCTTATTTTCTCTACCTTTCCCTATTGTCTTAGCAGTTAAATGGAGACCTCCTTTCCCCACTCTCGCTCCATGGCAGTAATGGTAAGAGAAATCTTCCATTATGGGAGCTCCCATTGTGCTTTCTATCAGTTAATTATAATTAGGAGTGGGCCCTGTATCTGGGCAGGTGAGGATAAATGATATATAGTATATAAGTGGTGATTATACTTTAGTAAGCTCTTTGTCCAATTACATATAGGCAATTCTTTATCTATATACATACTACCAGCTGTTTTTGATTATAAAGAGACAGCATTTTATAGTTGAGAAAGCACTAGAATTTTGTTTATGTTACTTAATCTCTCTGGGTCTTGGCCCTTTTTTTTTTTTGCAAAATGTCAAGGATAGACTAAATGATCTTTAAGTCCCTTCCAGCTATATAAAAATTGTGCCATTCTTTACTTCAGGTGAATCAAAAGTTGAACAAAGACAAATATAAATTAGTCTTGTATAGTCCATGCTACTATCTCACACAGATGATCAAGAGATGGCAAAATACAGATTTTCTCTTCATGAAATATTAGGTCACCATTGTAATTCTGAAATTCAGAATTGTTTTGTTGTAATAGAGTTTTGATGCATGGATAGATAAGTATATGCAGATTTAGACATGACATAGGACTGATGTCTAGTCCCTCTGTGTTGAATTAATATAAGAGGAACATTCTCAACAGAGTAAGTAAAAAGAGACTGTAATCCTATCTTTATCCTTTTTCTCTGTTTAGCCCTGGATTGTTTTATTTTATTTTAGTAGTGTGTAGTAAGTAGTTTGAGTCTTTTCATTTTTGTTTTTCCTGGCATGGGTGATTGAGATGTTTAATAAGAGTGAATTAAAGGGCAATTACTGCATGATAGCAGGATAAAAGAAGCAAGAGATCAGCAACAACTTATCTCTTTTTTCAGAGAGCATAAATAATTGGACAGAAAGCAGAAAAACACATTTGCTGAACAATAATATTCCTATAGATAATTTATTGTAACCAGACCAACAAAGCTTTATTACTATGGGCCACATACCAGGATAGAAAAATAGCACTATTCCAATATTCACTATAATGGGATTTATCTGTTTTTATTCCCCCTTTTGGGGAGGGCAATAGGAGACACCACCTAATATCTAAAATTTCTATTAAGCAAGTCCATGTTATGCTCTGTGTTCTTCAGTCACATTTTCTTACAAAATCCACATACAAAATTAAATCACCTACTAATCTGCTACTATATTGGCATGTTTTTCTAGTCTTTTTTCTATGCTGTTAAAAATACTTCTTTTGTTTTAAACAGCGCTGGAAACGTGTATATCGAATTTTGTATTCTATCTTCATTTAATATTCTTTCATGGTCTTTTACCCCAAAATTGTCTTTTTAAAAATTTTTTGGCAGCTGGCCAGTATAGGGATCAAAACCCTTACCTTGGGGTTATCTTCCCTCAAATTTAAACATTCTTTGAAAACATGAATTTTAATGGCACCATGATATTTCATCAGAGGTGACTTTACAGTAATATATTTAATCTTTTTTTTAGTTGGTAGAGATATTGTTTCTAATTTTTGGCCAACATAAAATAGCCCTATAATGACCAGTTGTGTTTAGATTTGATTATTTCCTCTGGATAGGCTCCTGGAAGTAGAATATACTGAGTCAAAGGTATAAATATTTGAAAACTTTTGTCATATATTATAAAAATTTACATTTTGAAAGGTTGAGTCAATTTATATTATTATTGGCTGTATATGAATGTATTTATTTTTTAACATGCTTGACAACTGAGTATTACCATTTTTTAAAAATTGCTGATTTGCTTGATAAATGATGCTACTTTTAATTTTTTGTATGTATTTCTTATCTTGTGAAATGCATTTTAATGTTCATTATTTATTTTTGTACTGTTATACTGAGTTTCTTTTTAAATTATAGGAATCTCATTGACAAAATAATTAGTTTGAACTAATATATAAAGGCAATAAGCATTGCAAATATGAAATACCAAAAAAAGCCATTAATATTTAGTACATTTTTAGTTCAATTCTTACCAGAAGAAATTAAAAGTCACTTCCTAATTTCAATCTCATGTTTAGTTTTTGTTTACCACATCAGAACAACCATAATCTAAAAGTCTTGTGTGTGTTTTTAGCTCCAGAAGATCTGCAAAATTCTGAATGCTCACATGAATTCTTTGCAATGGATTGAACACAATTCAGGTGGGAGTTTATTTGTATACCAAGCTTTATGTATTGCAAGTAAAAATGTGATACAAGGCAGGTTATGTGCTCCTTGACCAGCTTATACAGAGCTCAGTTTTAGGGGTGTTTTTAACTCATACGTCTACATTAGTTCTGAAGAACTGTAATTGCCTATTTTTTTAAAATGAAATACAGGAAGGATAAACTAGAAAGTAATGAAAATTGAGGGTGGATAGGATTGGGGACTAGAGAATAGGAATAGAAACAAGATATTCTCCGAATATTTCCTTTTTATGCAGTTTTGACTTTGGGGTCATATAAATGTTTTATACACAGATGGTCCCTAAGTTGTGATGGTTTGACTTATGATTTTTCAGCTTTACAGTGGTTCGAAAGCAATACTAATTCAGTAGAAACTGTACTTTGAGTACTCATACAACCATTCTGTTTTTCACTTTCAGTACAGTATTCAATAAATTACATGAATAACATTATATTATAAAATAGGCTTTGTGTTAGATGATTTTACCCAACTATGGTTAATGTAAGAGTTCTGAGCTCGTTTAAGGTAGACTAAGCTAAGCTACAAATGTTGGGTGGGTTGGGTGTATCAAAAGCATTTTTGACTTAAAAATTTCAACTTAACAGTGGGGTTATGAGGACATAACCCCATTGTAAGTTGAGGAGCATATGTACTCAAAAATTAGAATTAAGCCAAAAATAATGGGAAGAAAGACAAATACTAAAATTGAATATATATTGAAACGAAGCAAACCTATATAAGTAATTTATAACAAAATCACTCAGTTTTGTTAACTTTTGAACATAGTGTTCTTGATGGTGCATCCTTACTAGGATGTCATCTTAAGGATAAAAAGAAGTGGAGGGAAATCTTAAACTTTCTTAATAGGATTATTGTTAGTTTCAGAAATATAATATCAATACTACTACCATTTTATATATATCGTAGAATAAAGCGAATGCATAAGTATATTAATGATAATAGAAATCAGGATTTTCATTGAAAGTTAAAAGAGATACAAGTTACTTTTTCTTTCCTTTTTTTTATATTTGTATTATAAATTTGAATTGCAAATATCAGTAATGAATTTCTGTCCCTCGTTCTATATATGGAAAGGGCTTAGAAGCAATGACAGACACTCCAGTAGTGACGAGCACATTCAGCATCTAGATCTTCATTTCTAAATACCATTCCCACTAAAAGGAACTAAGTCTTCTTAGGGAACTGTCTAATCTCAGGTCTCAGGCAAGGAAAGTACAGGGTGAGTTTGGGACTTTTTGTAAAAGAAAGCAAACATTGTTCAAAGACTAATAAGGTTATTTCAGGACACAAGATTGTGCTCAAAGGGACTCTGGCCACATTAGGATGGTTTAAACAGCAAAAAGAATAATAACATTAATGGATTATAATACACCAAGGGAAATAAAATCCATGAGTCCAAAATGATATGCCAAAAAAAAGAGAGAAATGGAAGGTACAGGGGAAAGTCTCTACGGAAGCATGCCAACTAATAATTGCAGAAAGAATGATAGAGTTAGAAAACCACTATTAAAAATAATTTCAACAGGTGCTCACTGTGACAGCACATATACTAAAACTGGAATGATACAGAGAAGATTAGCATGGCCCCTGTGCAAGGATGATATGCAAATTCATGAAGCATTCCATATTTTTTTATTAAGTGGACTTGTTGATTTGCTTAGAAATAAATTTGCCTTTGAAAAGTTTATTCATCTTCCTCTATTGAAATTAATTTGATATTTACCTGCTTTTGGAAGACTTTAGAGAGGTATTTCAAATAATTGTAGAGATTATAAAATGAAATATGTAAATTTTGGTAAGTTTTACATCTCCAGGTTTTGTGAAAGTTAGAAGCCCTACTTTCTACAGAGCATTTTGTTATTCACCTGTTATTCAGTTTATGTATTTGTTATTTGAACAAATAAATGTGCAGATCCTTGTTACATTAAAAAATAGTTGTAAAGATATATCTGTATCTTAAATAAATAAATTCTTATCTGATAAAAAAATAAATAAATTTGATTTTATTTTAAAAAATTTTTCAATAGAACACTTTTATTAAACTCATCCTGATCTTAAATACTTTGCCTCATTTATAAAATGTTTCAACTGTCAGTCATTTCTTAGCAGAAAAATATGCTAGCAGGAAAGGGACCAAACACAGACTGTAAGTTACTGAGTTAATTTTTTAAAAAACAGTTTTATTGAGGTATAATTTACATACCATAAAATTCACCCATCCATTTTAGTTATACAATTCTGTGAGGAAAATCACCATTTTGCAGCCCAAGCATAAAAATTGATTCAGGCAAAGCTCATCAATGGATGCTAAAACCATTGAGTTTAAGACTGTTGGGGAACAGGATACTTGAGTGGTCTCAAAAGTATCACTCCACAGATTACTTAATAATTATAAAGGAGAAAATGTGCCTTTACAACAGAGCTATCTGATAAGTACCACTTCAGTGAAGTGATCAAACTTTATCTCAACAATAATGGGATAACCTGACATTATGTGCCTCTTGATCTGATGTGATAAGGAGTATGCAGTATCACTTATTTGGTATTCTTATCAAAAATATTTGACTTGAATCTAATCATAAGAAAATAGACATTCTACAGGTGAGATTCTGAAAGATGATATAGTATTCTTACCAAAAATATTTAATCTGAATCTAATCACAAGAAAGTAATCAGATTCAATGGTGTGAGACATTCTTATTTTGTTTTGATTTTTCTGTGTGATATATTGTGAATGATAACTGGCTTGGACTCTTCAAAAAGTCAGTCATGGAGCCAGTGCCTCGGGGCCCACTCACGGTCCTGGGGCATGGAGAAGGGGACTGGACCACCCTCCCACAACCAGGCACACCATGCCAGCACCTTGGGGCCTGCCCGGGGAACCGAGGCAAGGAGGGGACTGGACCTCTCTCCCATGACCAGGCACACCACACCAGCACCTTGTGGCCCACCTGGGGACCCGGGGTATGGAGAAGGGGACTGGAACTCTCTCCCATAACCAGGCACACTGCACCAGAGCTTCAGGGCCTGCCCAGGGACCCAAGGCATGGAGAAGGGGACTGAACCCCCCTCCCACAACCAGGAACACCACGACAGCAAGGAGAAGGGGACTGGACCTCTCTCGCATGACCAGGCACACCACGACAGCACCTTGGGCCCTGCCCAGGGACCCAGGGCATGGAGAAGAGGACCTGACCACCCTCCTGCAACCAGGCACACTAAGCCAGCGCCTTGGGGCCCAACCAGGGATCCGGGGTATGGAGAAGGGGACTGGACCTCTCTTCCACAACCAGGCACACCAAGCCAGCGCCTCGGGGCCCGCCTGGGGAACCAAGGCATGGAGAAAGGGACTGGACCTCTCTCCCACAACCAGGCACACTGTGCCAGCACCTTGGGGCCCGCCCAGGGACCCGGGGCAAGGAGAAGGGGAATGGTCCTCTCTCCCACAACCAGGCACACTGAGCCAGCACTTCAGGGCCCACCCCGGGGACCTGAGGCATGGAGAAGGGGACTGGACCTCTCTCCCATAACCAGGCACACTGTGCCAGCACCTTGGGCCCCGCCCAGACCGGACCACCCTCCCACAACCCGGCACAACATGCCTGCACCTCAGAGCCCACCCAGGGACCTGGGGCAAAGAGAAGGGGACTGGACCTCTCTCCCACAACCAGGCACACTGCACCAGTGCCTCAGGGCCTGCCCAGGGACCTGAGGCATGGAGAAGGGGAATGGTCCTCTCTCCCACAACCAGGCACACCAAGCCAGCGCCTTGGGGCCCACCCACTGTCCTGGGGCATGGAGAAGGGGAGCGGACCACCCTCTCACAGCCAGATACACCATGCCAGCACCTCAGAGACTACCCAGGGACCCAGGGCATGGAGAAGACGACCGGACCTCTCCCCCACAACCAGGCACACCAAGCCAGCGCCTTGGGTCCCACCCAGTGACCCAAGGCATGGAGCCAGGAACCAGACCCTCCTCCCACAACAAGGCACACCATGCCAGTACCTCAGAGCCCACCCACAGACCTGAGGCAAGGAGAAGGGGACTGGACCTCTGTCCCACGACCAGGGACATGGTGCCAGCACCTCAGGGCCTGCCCTGCCCAGAGGCATGCAGAAGGGGACTGGACCCTCCTCCCACACCAGGCACAAAACGCCAGCACCTCTGAGCCCACCTGGGAACCAGAGGCATGGAGAAGGGGACTGGACCCTCCTCCCACAACCAGGCACACTGCACCAGTACCTCGAGTCCTGCCCAGGATCCTGGGACATGGAGAAGGGGACTGGACCCCTCTCCCAAAACAAGGCACAGGGTGCCAGCACCTTGGGGCCTGCCCAGGGACCAGAGGCATGGAGAAGGGGACCAAACACACCTCACAACCAGGCATACCGCCAGTGCCAAGGAGCATGCCAAAAACAGCACCTCCACATGGGTGGCCCACCATAGTCACTACAATAACCATGGCTGCTGCAAAAGTGGCTAGATGCCACAGCCACCACGCAGATGGTCTGCTAACAACTGGAGTGCATTCACACAAGAAGAGTCACCAGCAGAGACCAAAGAAAAGAAGAGGACATCTCTTTCCACAAAACCCATTTCAGAGTGACAGAAGCATCTGCTCTATGATAATACTGGGGGACCTGATCACGTCTCTCAGCATTGGACAGATCATCTAGGCAACAAGTTAACAGAGTTGCCATTATTCTTTCGGAAGGAGAGAAGAAATCTAGGGCAATTAGAGGGGGGAGGGGGAGGGAATCGGGGAAGTGGTGAGGTTGGACTAAGGGCATAAAGAATAATTACGATTTGTAACAATATATATGCTGGCAATATTGATTTAATCAACATATCTCAATGTTCAACCCCCAAAAATGTATAATCAATTTTGATTCAATTAATAAAATAATTTTTTTTTAAAAAAGTCAGTCATGGGAAACAAAAAAATTCAAAA